AACTCGTTTTAAAAAAATTTAAAAAATAAATAATTATATAATTACTTATTGCTTTGTAATTACTATTTAAATAAAATAAATATTATAACTATATTATTTTTTTGGTACTAAAATATTGCTCTTCTCTCGTTTCCGTATCCAGATAGAAATGATTCTACGCTAAGAACTCGGTAAGTAGCAAATAACAAATTCAAAGGATCGATAATTCATTTTGGCGAGTAGATTATTTTACCAAATATTTGACTATAGGTACTACTGGTTAAGCAGTCTCGCAGTACAGAATTCGACCGCAAATTCTTTGGGGACTCTGTTTAATTCTATTTGTTAGAGCTAAAATAGTTTATTGTGTGATAAGTACAGAAAAAAAAACAATTCCACACGATATGTAAAATGAGCTAATGTAAGTGCCACAAACAAACGAGTTATATCAACCTAATAAGAGAAGATAAGGTTCTGCTTAGTTAGCATTTTAATTACTTGATTTATACAGGGTGTCCCATTAGTACGTAATTGTTCAAAATTTTAATTTGTGTTATACACACGTTAACAAGTTTTAAATAAAAGTTATATGAATTTGAAAAACGCATATTTCAAAAATATTTTTGAATATAGAGAGTGTTGCATTTTCGCTTGGCAAATAAAAATGTAATTTTTTAAATATTTTATTGTTAGAATGGTTTATTAATACTGTCACGCTAAACAAATATCACCCTATATATAAAATATATATTTTCTATTTTAATATTCAGTTGTTAAATTAAATAATTCAGCATAATATTTTATACAATATTTTAATAAACATTAGATTCAATTAGTAAATACATTCTCGATAAATGTAAATATAATATTAAACTAGACATGTTTTGACCTTAACCGATTAATATAAAGATCGGCCGGGTCAACAATAATGGTACTCTTGGTCGGAGTCTCATCCGAGACTCTTGGCCGGAGTCTCCTCCAAGTACTCTTAGTTTGAGTCTCATCATTGTCTCTCATCCCAGCGAAGAAGTAACGTGACGTGCCCTCGTCGCCATTTAGATGTTTAGCCCATGGTAAGGCCCATATTGTATTATTAATATTAATATTGTATATTGTGTATTGATTACTATTACTGATAAATAAATTGTTAATTGTTCAACTCGACTTTTATCTCATAAAGAAAGGTAGCACGAATTAATAACATTAAATAATTCTTTCGACCCATAGAAAAGGGGGTCGTGACATATGGTGGAGGCGCCGGTTTAAAAATCTCAAAGGGTTAATTCTTCCTAATTAACTCCTTATTGTACCTTTAATAAAAATTGAAAAATCACACAGCTACCTCACTTTATGAAATTAAATTTTCCTAAAAGGTTCAAAAGGCAGAGTTACAAATATTTTTGTCTTGTAACTTGTATTAATTTTAATATTTTCTTTTGCCTAAATACAAGGGTTGTACGATAGTTAACGCAGGTGTTTTTACCGTATTTTTGCTTCTTGAAACTTATCTCTTGGTGATCAGACCCTGAGATAAGGTTCCCAATTTTCCTAGTTAAACCTTCGGTGTGATCAGACATAGAGGGAATAACTAAACGCCAATCGCTACGAATATCTTTTCTTCTGTGTGATCAGACATTGAAGCGAAGGTATTCCGGGGGCACAACACCGTTACGTATCCCTTGTGTGATCAGACATTAGGGATAGGTGACAAACACCCCGCTGATAGAGATTGAGTGGGTTAAAAAATCAGTAAAAATCCCAATCGGTAAGAAAATTTGTTTTTTCTGTGTGATCAGACATTGATTAAACAGATTTTCAAGGCCCAGATACCGACCAACATCTCTTGTGTGATCAGACATTAGGGGTAGTGGACGGATGTCTCGCCGCTGAAGATTGGGATAATTTAAACGCGAATTGTTACATCTGCGAAAACTGTTAAACAACTTATGGAAATCAATTCAAGGGAATTTTAAGTAAATTAATTAAAAGTTAGAAAAATATGGGCATTAATTAATTATAAAAAAAAAATGGTTACATAAGAATAATAAGGAGGAAGCGGCCCATGCAAGCCGGGCCCTTCCTAGCAATGATCCGTGGACCTAAATCAGAAATAATCCCAATAAAGTAATTTGTAGCATAGGTCTTAAATTAGTAATTTATTATGGTTTTTATTTATACACATAGACGATCTAGATTTTTTTTTATTTTTTATTTAGCAATATGTATTTCACGTACTAACATTATTTTTGTGCAGGATAATAGTATTTTACGGTATCATCGCTAATAACTTTAACAAGGAACAAAGGTATCTGCTAGTATGTTTTGCATACCATTATCTGAAAAAGTAGCTTCCGTTGCTGCTATCTCAATAATCTGCAAGTCTAGGTGGAGCGAGTCAACTGCAGATTTCAGTCAATCAAATTTCGGTCCATACTATATAGAAATAGAAATACGGAAAAGGTTGTAGTTAATGGAATAAACGTATATCCGTATATATTAGTTATTTAGTTTAAATTTTTTTTTTATCATATACTAACACTTTTTTTTGTGCAGGATATTAGTGTTTCTTGAAGAAACTCCAAATTTTAAAATAGAGATAACTGATGGCGCCTTCTGGAGTACTACTAGAGAAAATAGCGCATAGAGTTACAATCCCCACATTAATTAAATGTTTCTTTTTCTGTTTAGCGTTTATTGGTTTTATTAGATATTTAATAATACAAGTGTTACAAAACTAGATCTCAGATCTCAGCCAGAAGGACACAGCAGTCATCCTCACTCGAAAATACAGAAGTTCCTCCCGCAGAAGACCAAAGTGACCCCCAAGTAATTCAAAACAGACGTCTCATATTAAATGTAGAAAATAGGAATCTGCAAGAATTAGCCACAGGACATAGTATATCCTGTCTTCTTACAGCGGTAGAAAAAAAAAAAAAAAGGCAAGTAAATAGTAATTTGTGTGTTGTGAGAATGTGAATAAATGGAAGTATGATAAACTCAGTAGTAAAAGTTATAAATATGTTGAAGTAAAGCATTGTAGGTATTATAATTAAATAAGAGTAAACTGTGTGAGAAAAAGTGAATACACAGAGAATATGTTTATAGAGAGAAAAATTAAAAAATAGGATGTGTAATGAGTTATATATAAAACAAAGTGTACGAGTAGAGACACGTGTGATGCTTATTTATTATTTTTTGAGAAATGATTGTTATGAATAAATATGACATAGAGAGAAATAGGCCTGCGACATATGGTTGTCGCGAAAATAAGCACGATAGTGGGGAGAGGGGTTAGGAAGAAGACTGAATGAAACAGTTGATAACCTATCTCACCCTGAAAAATAAAATGTGTGAGAAAAATTGAATACACATAATATGTTTATAGAGAGAAAAATGAAAATATATATAATGTTTAATGAGTTATAAAATGAAGTGTACGAGTAGACACATGTATGCGAGTGGTATTTTAGTAAAATGAGAGACTCGTGATTTAAGGTTGTCGTACAAATAAGTACGATAGAGGGGGAGAGGGGTTAGGAAGAAGACTGAATGAAACAGTTGATAACCTATCTCACCCTGAAATAGAAAAGTAAAGATATATGAAGAATGTGTATAAAAAGATGCACAAGTTGATTTTATGTGTGTACGAAATAAATAGGATGAAATAAATCCCAAAGAAATAAGACGTACAAGGATGTACGAAATGAAGACTCTGTCTATAGGTAAAACGACAGAGGGTTCATGTGTAAAGCCCGAGTGAAAGGTTGTGGAAATATAATCCAATATCTGTCGTGGTATTAGCCAGAGAAGTAGTTGTTTTTTCGTTAAACAAAAATCACAGGGTAGAGTTTATTAAGATATTAATAAATGATGAGAGAATATTAGAGTAACAGACATTTTAAGAGTATAAAAGTTAAGATACCTACAAGCGATGCATGTGAGAAAGAGAAAACTGAGTGATTTTTTTTTTAAACTTACATTACCTAAATGCTAATAGGAAAAATTATCAAGAAAAATATAAATTGTTTTTTTTAATTGGTAATGAAAAGTTGTGTTTATGATTCAAATCAGCATTACTTCAACAAAAAAAAAGGTCAACATTCTCAATATTTTGTTTTGATATTTAAGTCAAGTTCACCATAGGTATCCAATTTCACAACAAACACTTGCCGTAGAATAATGTAATTAGATAACAAAAACATTCCTATTGCACTATTATATAATTTTGTTTCCATTAAAAGAGATGATCTAAACATAGTTTATAAATAAAAACATTAGAATATATACGGGGGAAATAATAGAAATAACATTTTCTTTTCTTTCATTAATTTTTCTAATTAGTGATAAATTAAATAAATTATGAGAAAATATTAAAATAAGTTTGAATATATAAAGTTCTCTTTTTTAAATAATATATAAACACGGCGAGGATAATAATATATATATAGATTTAAATTTTTTTGGTACTGACAAAGGCAAACCTCTAAAAAGTAAATAATAAAATTGTTATAAAGAGAAGACTATGTAAAGGGTTTGCCATTTGTTCCACTTAAGCTAAGTTATAAATAGGATTATTTTAGATAATTTTTTTGCTCCTCTTGATAAATTTACATATAGACTACCTGTAGTTTTTCTTTGTTACATATGAGCCCACACCACCAGTCAAACACTACCAACCAAACAGACACAATTCAGCCACCCGGACACGACCACCCCTGGAGCTAGCCCTTAGAGATGAATACCAAAGTGGTGAGACAATACCGGGTGCTATCCCAATAATTCTGGACAATCCGAGAGGTCAAGTGGATTAATCAATATAGTGAAGTGGTTATGATCCTAAAGTCCTGGAAAAGCAACCCTAAGAGTCCAATTAAATAAAACTGCTAGAGAAAAGCGAAGAAAGAAGTTGTGGGTACCAGCTAAAAATACCCAAACGACAGTTATTCGCCCAAAATACAGATTGGTCGCCAACAATCCCAGCAGTCAGAGAGAAACTGCCTGTAACCAAATCGTCGGTGAAATCAACCAGTTATGCCCTGCAGTTCAGATTCAGCGAGGTTGGAAACATATTTGAGGGAATGTCCCACTGAAATTACGGCCCGGATCGTTCCAGTCAACCATTGGAACCACGGCTCCCAGGTATATGTGAACCACATATCACAGCTCTCCAACCAAGTAGCTGCGATGACGACATTCGAGTCTCCAAGGGGTAGAACAAGCCACGCAGCAGAAGAAGAAGAAGGTGTTCCGCAGGGCTGGATGTGCGAAAGACTAGACTTTAATGTGGAGTGTTCGACTATCGGTAAAACGGAACTAGTTAAGGTGTGCGGACTCTCAAAATAAAAATGTGTAATGTCAATAACTTTTGAGGAGATATTGTTTTTAGTTATATTTTGTTTAGCTGTATAAAATATTTTTCTTTCAGGGTAGATTTAAGGATAAAGCTCGGGTCGAGGCTTTGGTCGTCGGGGGGCATGTCACGCTAAACAAATATCACCCTATATATAAAATATATATTTTCTATTTTAATATTCAGTTGTTAAATTAAATAATTCAGCATAATATTTTATACAATATTTTAATAAACATTAGATTCAATTAGTAAATACATTCTCGATAAATGTAAATATAATATTAAACTAGACATGTTTTGACCTTAACCGATTAATATAAAGATCGGCCGGGTCAACAATAATGGTACTCTTGGTCGGAGTCTCATCCGAGACTCTTGGCCGGAGTCTCCTCCAAGTACTCTTAGTTTGAGTCTCATCATTGTCTCTCATCCCAGCGAAGAAGTAACGTGACGTGCCCTCGTCGCCATTTAGATGTTTAGCCCATGGTAAGGCCCATATTGTATTATTAATATTAATATTGTATATTGTGTATTGATTACTATTACTGATAAATAAATTGTTAATTGTTCAACTCGACTTTTATCTCATAAAGAAAGGTAGCACGAATTAATAACATTAAATAATTCTTTCGACCCATAGAAAAGGGGGTCGTGACAATACTATATTTAATCCTTGATAAAAAAAAAACAGGGCTGCCAAGCAATTTTTTTTTTTTAGGAAATTAGAGAATGTTGCAGAACCCAAATTAAATTATTATAATTTAAGAAGATTTACATTGATTTACAAATATTTCGATATACAGACTTATAAGATACTAACCTAGCGAATAGTGGTGATAGATCTGGTTTATTTTCTACAGAGTGTTTTGAAACAAGTCTTAAATATGGCTAATTTTAAGTTCAATTTACTAAATTTTTTCAAATGCTACATCCTATATATTATTTTGCATAAAATTCCTTATAAATTTACCTATCCAACGATACCAACATGTTAGCCAATAACACATATACATGTCCCATTAGTGCGTAATTAACCGATAGCTGCTTTATTAATGGAAATAGGAAGAAATTTCTAATTTAAAAGTTGTATATCCATATTTAACAATTATTCTTAGCTATACAGGGTGGTCCTTAATAGAGGTGCTTATCAAAGGTATACTTTTTTAAAACAATATATATATATATATATATATATATATATATTAAACAAGTACTTGAATATTCATCATAGACAGAATTGTGTCAGGTCATTGCCAAGTATTGAAGGACGAAGGACAGAGTGCGAAAAAATGATGTGTGACTATCAAGTATAAACTCAACGGTCTCATAATATATTATATTTCTAGTTTTGGATTCTGCGAGTATTGGATAACATCGACCAACAAAGAGAGATCTCCTTTCGATGTTGCCAACTACATTTAATCTATAGGCTGGCTTGATTTAGGGGATGTATAATGAACCTAGTGAAGCCTAACTGTTGTGAGGCAACAGACGTTGCAGATACAGATGGTTAATCACCATTTATACAGTGTGTATTTGACCGACGTTACTTAGCTTTGAATGAACATGTAGAGAGTTTGGTGTGTTAAGTTTTCATTGGGCTGTCTGGATATTTGTTAACAACGTTACAACAGAAAAGACTTGATGTATGTACAATGTTGTTGTGATTTATTGTAAACACTTGGATTATTATAAGAACGCATAGAAAATAATAACTTTTAACAATAACATTTGCAACTGTCTATGGTCATCCATATGATGGAGAAAATAAAGAATACAACAATATTCATGAAGGATTTTTTTTATTATTTTAAATTTACACACTTATTGCTTAACTTAAAACTAAAAAACAAGGTGCCTTAAATAATTAAATGTGTAAAATATAATATAACAATCGTAGATCCCAACAAACACAAAAACAAATATTTATATAGGAAAAGTTTCATCAATGTCATCATTTAGACAAGGTTCTTTGTAAAAATATTTATGCAACGTTCCGCTATGAAGACCGGTTTTAATTTATATATATATATAGGCTAAGGCATATCAATATTCTTAACCAATAATCATCATCAGATTGGTATGTGTCATCGCCATTATAAAAATATTTTAAATATTCATCGCAGTCATAATCATCACCAAGGCCTCTAGTAACTCTTGCTGCTCTAACTGCTTTAACATTTCTTGTTACTCTAGCTGCGTTAGCTTTAGATAACAGTTCAAATTCGGCATGCACTTACATGCACTACATATCTTCTTCATACGTGAATTTCGTCGCTTGCGTTACACGCGTCAAACACCCGTTATCCATTGATAAACTCTTATTGCATGGCAGTTCTATAATCAAATATTTATTATTATTCCCAATTTGGGCTTTTTGATACACACGACATTTTACAGATATAATAATATGAGTCCCCTAAATGCAAAACTCGGTATTTGACGAAATTTTCAAGAGTAATATTTTAGCGCCATTTAATTCCTTATATCAAACTCTACTATTCTTCTCCTAAAATAAGAAGCAAAACTCCCTATTTCTGAATTAAAAACGCTTTAGAAAACGAAGACTAGATGCAAAACTCTGTATTTACCTTCACTTGTCAAATGCAAAACTACGTAATTGTAACCTGCTGCCAATGGCGTTGCGTCTAATAGTCACGTGATTAAGTAAGTGCATGGGCACGTAGATATTTTAATTTATTCATTTGTTGTTTGGATTCTAAAGAGGCCAGAAGTAATTTCGCTTGTTTTTGCTAGTTTCTGCAGCTTACACCTAATAAAAATGTTTTTAATTTAACAATTAATTTATATTTTTGTATCTTTAATTAAAAAAAAAAAACATAGGAAAATAAATGTTCTAAAATAAGACAACCATGCACTTATCGGTATTTGCAATTGTGAGTTGCAAAATATTTGCTTATTTTACGTATCTTACCATTTTTAATTTTAAAATTAGTTCTGTAATAGTTTCATTGGACATATTTGAAATTTCCACTTTGATTTTAGCTACTTCGCCTAGTACAAATGCTTCTTTCTCTAAAATAAGGTCCATAGTGATAGGTTCGCTAGCACAGCACATACAACATAATATTTTCTCGTCTTTTAACTCAACAGGATTCTAAAAATTGAATAATTTAGAAGCATTACAGGGTGGGCAAATTTCGGTGTTTTAATAGAGAATCTGGTATGGAAAAATGAACCTCCCGTCCTCGATCTCTGTTTTTGAGAAAAACTTAATAGTATTTTCAAAAATTGGCTATTGTCTTTTGTTTTCGAGTTATAAACAACAGCACGTTTTTTAAAATTTTCAATATATGGCATTATCTCGCTTATTTATGAAAGTAGAAGAAAATTATTTATACCTTCTTCAGGCACTTTTTGATAAGTATCCAGTGGCGTAGTCAATTATTTTTAAAAATTCTTCAAATTCGAGTTATAGCATAATGTTGTATTTTTTCATATGGAACGGGTAGTTGGCTGTGGCATACAAAAAAAAGACAAAAGTTTTCTCATTCTAAGGATATATATAATGTGGCGTTAGTTTATTTATTTTCATTGTATTCATTCGTCAAATTAATACATATTAATATGATGTACGTTTTTTAGGCGCGTTCTCCACGAATTCTTCTTGCCAATTGTATATCTTTGGGCATAATTGTTACTCGTTTGGCGTGAATGGCACACAAGTTAGTGTCTTCGAATAAACCTACCAAGTAGGCTTCGCTGGCTTCTTGAAGCGCCATCACTGCAGAACTCTGAAATCTTAAATCAGTTTTAAAATCTTGGGCAATTTCACGTACTAACCGTTGGAAAGGTAATTTTCTAATCAATTCGGAACTTCGAGCTAAATTCGAAACCTTTTTGATATGGTTTGCGTCTGTAAATAAATAAATTATGGTTAAAAATGTTTTATAACTCACAAAATTGTTAGGAAAATTAGGTCTTGTAGAATTCGATTACAATCAGAAGAACACAACTACGTCATAACTTTTATTTTGAATTTCAAATATATGAGTGTTAAAAATATTATTACTACGTTTCTATAATAACACGCTACTAAACTCCCACTAGGCGGCGATAGCTAATGGATTACTCCGCCAATTGATGACGTAGCTGAATTCTTCTTCTTACAGTCGAAACCTAACCACTAAACTATGTGTTTATAATAAACTAGAAGCACAAAATTGATGAACAAAATCGAGCCATACAGCGATATGGTATTTGATAGGCTGGCGCCTACAGGTGCATATCTAAATGCACTAAAAGGTAACACCAAAATTAAATTTAACACCAATTACATTTAACTACAACACATCTCCTGTTGTACTCAGATTGATAAGCTGAAATTGCGTGGACCTTGCAAGTTGTACGACTACTGTTGCATTTTCGCTATGACAAAGTCATCCACTGTGTTAATAATATCAGGTGGTGTGGTCAATAAATCTTCTATCGGGTGGGTTTAGTAATGTTTAAATACACGGATTTGTCTCATCGTATCTAGCTCTATGCAATATCAGTGATTCCGTTTTGGTATTATGTAGGATTTAAAGTAAATTCACCTGTGTACTCAAATTTAAACAAATAATTGACCGATCAAGTTAAAATTAGTATGAAATTTACTTATTCACTCATTTAACACAAACTGTACTTGTTTTCTAAAAATCAAAATACTAAATCATTTACCGCATTATTTGTAAAATGTTATATTTATTTTGGTTTTATGTGAGTACTTACCAAAAGAACTATCACCACTACATAGAAATGATGAACAAGCCAGAAGAACTGAAAAAATATCACATTAAAAATGGTTTTACAATAAGGTGTAAAGTAAATCAAATTAGGTTTGAAGAATCATGTCAAAATTATAATTCTTCGTAAAATGTTTTATTATAAAAAATTAATGGATATAATAGCAAACCAAGATAAGTATTTAACTAATTCACGTAGCATTATAAAATTACATTTACCATTCAAGAGGTTTCCATAAAAGATTTTAAAAAAATGAGCATTCTTACAAAGTAAGTTTAGTTCAGGAAAGACGATTTTGAGAGACGATATCATTAGGAATAAAACTGTTATTTGAATGAAGCTGCATTTTTCCTATATCGTCATCTAAACCGTTAGACTTATTTGTATTGAGTCACTGTTAATCCAAATTGGATGCAGTATGGGCCAGCATAATTTATTCATTAATTTATTTATTAAATACACTATTCTACAAGTAATACCCAATTACAGAATAGGAAAATATGACAAAAATATTTAGACGAAACGTACAAAAATGAAAAATATTACTGGAAATAAAGTACAATGATGGTTATCTTAAATAATGCCTTTTGATATCCTGAATACTAATGTGAAATATATCCAATGGGGCATGTTCAAAAATTTTGAAATTTTTTTTATGAATAGTAGAGTTAAAAATAAAACTACATTTTTTTTATTTTTTTTTTATCTATTCATTTGCCGGAGTTATGATTTTTTTTTAAATTTATGACGTCACCGGTAATAGACCAATAGGAGCTAGCGCACAACGTTGCCGGCTAGAAGGTTTACGAGAAGTGATGTACGTTCGTTTGTGTACTCCTTCTTACTTTTAGACTTCTAAAACATCGTTAAACAAATATCTTTTAAATATATAATATCAAATGTTTTTTGAAAGTATTGTTTCTGTTTAAACTTTTACTATATTTTAAGTTTTATTGTTTTAAAAGTCACTTAATAATTCAGAAAATGCCAAAACGGCAGCACTGTATGTCATCTGTCATAGTGTCTCCATCAATAATTTATTTGGAATTTGAGTGTTTATTTTGTACTTTTTATAAATAAATATTATGACTACGAAAAAGTGTTTTGTTCCAGAATGTGATAATGATTCACATTCATCTTCAAAAATATTTATTAGTGTTCCTAGAAATTTGGAAAGAAGAAAATCAACCTTCTACTAGCGATGTTTCTCGTAAACTTTTTAATAAAAATACACCGGATTATCAAGATGTAGCAGCAATTTCTGCTAATTGTCCCCTTCAGGAAATTGAAAATGAGGCTTCTATAAATTCTTAGGTGTATAACCTAAAAACCCTTCTGGAAGAAAATGCAGAATCTCCTGAAAGTTTTGAAGATACCGAATTTATTCATCATTTTGTGGAAGAACTAGTGATAAAGAAATAATAGAAAAATGTGGGTATTTAAACAAACTGGTTCCTGGATCCCATATAATGGCAGATAGGGGTTTCAGAATATTTAGCTACTTGAAAACATGGGATGCACTTTAGTAAAGCCACACCTAGTGTATCACAGAATGAAAAAAGTTATCCAGAAGATGTACAATTAAGTAAAAGAATAGCATCTCTAAGAATACATGTGGAAAGAGTTATAAGAAGGGTTAGTTAATTTAACAAGTTAAAACCACATTCGTGTGTGAATTTTAAGCAAGTACATTTACTTAGTAATATCTGCATAATTGCTTGTTAACTTACAAGAACCTATTTTGTAAGAGTAAATATTAATTTAATAAATTTTGTTTGTTTGTTTTTTTAATTTAATTTACCTAATTATCACATTTCAGGGATTATAATGAGTTTTTAAACAGCCAATGTAATTTTTTATAAAATTTTAACTTTTTGAACAAATCAAAGAGGAATGAGTACTTGTATATGCATAGATTTTTTTGGGACTAAAACTACCAAAACAAAGGCACCTATTTACAGCAGTTTAAAATGAAACATTTTGACAAAAACGCTTATGTCACAGTGATAAATATTAAAAACAACCAAGTTCAGTTGAATGTGGTAGCAAAGTCTATATATTCCAATAAATCGGGTAACTACATGTGGTATCACTGGTGATAAATTTAAAAATATCACAATTCTTGCTACCTTTTTCAAAAAACCAGAAAGTGTGCCTTCTTATCAATCCTTTATGAAAATGACAACAGTGATAAATGTAAAAAAAAAAATTTAATGTTGCTATTCGTTATTACGATAGTAAAACATGTTTGCAGTTCCGTTTATTTTTTATGAAAATCTAAGTAAAAACCAATGTCAAAGGGTTATAATTTTTTTTCTGTTGAACCAAATATATCACAAAATTTAAAAATTGATCATAGGTCAAGCAAGTAATACCTTTATTGATAGTAGCTTTAAAAAAGGAGAAAGAATAATATTGACTTAAATTATTATTATTAACATTGGTGATTTTTAATAAAAACTCTTCAATTATTGTTTACAAACAAAAATATAAAAATCTGTGAAAATTTTATTTATTAATCTTTTAATAAAAAATGAGAAAAATGAAGTAAAAAACAATTTATTTACAAATAAAAAATATATATACAAATCCTAAGAATATAAAAGTACTGATTTATTTTCCTGTAGTGGATGAAGAGGTTTCTTTAACAATCTAGCCAAGTGTACATCAATATTTACGCATTTTGATAAATTAGAGCCTTTCCAATAACACTGACTAGATGTTACAAATAGTTCATCACTTCTTCTATGAAGCCACATATTTACAATCAACTGAAAAAATAAAAGGGTTAGATATGCAGTTACAAAATAACTATATAACCAGCTACAAAATGCCTTTATTTTATGTAACAAGACGAGCAGAGCTTTACTAGCTCTGAACGAATCCAGTAAAGAACCTCGGATTTTCAAAACTTAAAAAAAAACAATCTCACCACATTTTCACATTTTTGAAATATTATAGAGCTTTTCGAAAAAAACTGCTATTTTTAAAAATACAATTTGTTTAAACAGCTATGTCTCATTTTAGGCTATTGAGTATTATAAAATAAAAAATTACGGGATGCTTTGTTAGCTTCAAACGAATCCAGCAGAGCACCCCAGTTTTTTTTTAAACCACACCACGTTTTTTGGCTCCTACAATATTATAAAATATTCGAAATTTGGCATTTTAAAAAAAAATTCGCAATTCCTTGCTGACTTCAAAGTTTTTTTCTGAAAACAAATGTACTTACCACATTTTTAGGATTTTAAAACAGCCTAAACATGTGTCATAAGTAGTTGTTTTTATATATAAAAAAAAAAAATTAAAAAACTGAAGTGTCCTGCTGACTTTGTTCCAACAAAGCACCCTGTATTATTTAAAAATAGCAATTTTTTTAGTAAAGTTTTACAATATTTCAAGAGTCTAAAAATATTCTAAAAATGGGGTGTGGTTTTTAGAAAAAAGCTTTAAAAAACCGAATTGCTCTGCTGGCTTCTTTCGAAGGTTAGCAAGCACCATGTATTTTTAAAAATATAATATTTCAAGTGCATAAATATATGGTGTTGCTGTTTTTACAGAAAAAACTTTATAAAATAGAGGTGCTTTGCTGACTTTGTTCGAAGCTATAGAGCATTTTAAGTTTTGCAAAAAACGAGGAGCATAAAATTTTTGAAAAGGGTATAAAAATAGCCTAAAAATATGGCATATTTTTTAACTCAAAATTTCATAGGTGCTCTGCAGCATTCTTTGGTATCATAATTATTACTAGGTTCACTAACAAAATCTGTTTCTAGATTATTTTAACACTTGCTGCGATTACAAAAAATGTCTGTATGTCAAAATTAGAAAAAAAATATTTATAGGAATAAAGGGCCTTATAAACTGTTTATTATATGTAATATAAAAACAAAAAAGCATAATAAATATTACAAACCTTGACATGCAGCATATCCTTAGCATATTGTGCACTAACAATTTCATTTTTGTTAATTACAATGCAACCACATCAGAAGGTTTTTGCCGTACTTTATGTTTAGGTGTAATTTGTCTCCTTCTCTCTTATGGAAAAAGAAATTATCCCCATATACTTGCTTGGCAGATCTAAAAATAAAACCTGAGATAAATATGTTTTACTTGCTCCATATAAACTGTAACTACCTACTATTAAAACAAAGTCTTACCTTTGTGACTAACAAAGTCTTACCTTTGTGACTTTTGTAAACTGAGTATTGTTAAAAAATGCAGTAATCATCTCGGTAATCATATTTTCGTTTACAATGGGTAAAACACTTGATTCAACTTTTATAAATCCAGCTGATTCATATTAATAATAAAATTAGACCAAAACAAAAAACTAAGGTTAGATGGTGTCAATTTTAATGTCACTTAGATGTGCGTTCACTTCGACATTCTGTGTGTTGGTTTGTTCGTTGGCTTGGTTTTGTATAACAAAAAAAACTTCGACACAAGATGATTGGTCTATTCCCGATGACGTATAATTTCAAATTTTAAATTTCAATTGGGCTTAATTTAAAAACTTTTGGCTTTTTTAACGAACTGACTATTTAGAATAACTTGTATAGCGACTAACTATTACAATATAATTTATAAAACAGCATATCTCACATGTGAACATGGCCCATTCCTGACTTATCTGATTGTAATTATTACACATATTATACAACGGTGAGTTCATTAAAATATTAGTACGAGGTGTTGGTAAGTAAAATGAGTTAGTATATCTTGAGGCTAGACGTGAAACTTTTAAATTAAGCATATGTAATAGACATTCGCAGTTTATTTGATTGCTTATGACCTTATGCAGCATAATTACAGAAAAATATTTTCGCCTTATATCGAGACTTGAAAATCCATGTTTATTTAATAAGGCGTCGTGTGGGGTGCCAATGGGTGGATAAACTAGATCATATCTAAAACTTAAGTATTTTAGGAATCGTCTCTGAATTCCTTCCAAACGACCAATGTGTACTTGATACAATGGACTCCATATAAGTGACGCGTATTCAAGCTTTGATCGAACAAAAGCATAATACAGACATTTTATGGTATCTACTTTCTTAAAATCACGACTGTTTCTGATTATGAATCCATATGTACGATTAGATGAGGATGCAATACTATCGACATGGTCAGTAAAAGAAAGTGCTGAATCAAATAGGACTCCTAAATCGGCGAAGTTTTTTGGTCTGTTTAAGGGAGTTTCATCAACAATATACTGATAAAAAGTTGGATCTGACTTTAAGGAGTACGACATTACATTACACTTGGCTGGGTTTAATTTTAAATTATTTCTATGGCACCATTCATTAACTCGTTTTAGATTTTCAGAAACTCGCTCGCAGTCAGCAATACTATTTATGGAAGCATAAATTTTAAGGTCATCAGCATACAGTAGATAATTAACATTAATTACACTACCAATGTCATTTATAAAAATATTAAATAAGAGTGGGCCAAGATTCGACCCTTGAGGGACACCCGATGTGGCAAGGTACTTAACAGACTTGAACCCATTGAGCTGAACGTATTGTGAACGGTTACACAAATATGATTTTAGTAAGTCAATAAGACTATCCGAGAGTCCAAAAGCAGACAGTTTTTTTACTAAAATTCCATGGTCAAGTCTGTCAAATGCTTTAGTCATATCTGTATAAATAACATCAGTCTGAATACGTTGTCGATATTTTCTGCTATATGCTAAGTAATGACTGAGAGATTCGTTACTGTTGATCGACCTTTTACAAATCCATGTTGTTGAGTGGATAACGCATTCCTTATATGTTGATAAATACTGCGTTCCAGTAATATTTCTATAATACTTTACAAAAATTGCAAATAATAGAAATAGGTCGGTAGTTCTTAATGTCAGTTCGATTTCCATTTTTAAAAATCGGACATACTTTAGAGCTCTTCCACATGGACGGAATAGTACTAGAACGGATGCAAATATTGATCAGGATTGTCAGAGAATAAGCGAGTACTTGGGCACAATCTTTCAAAATGAATGCAGGAATATGGTCGGGTCCCGTAGTACGCTTAGGTTTTATAGATTTTAATGCGTCAAGTACCTGGCTTTCGTCAAAACTGTCAATATTTAAACAAGTTGATTGAAGTTCATTCACATCAACATGAGAAACTTTAGAATGAACGTAGGACTTGCTAAAAAGATCAGCAAAACTATTTAGTATGTCAGCAGGATTATCCAGTGTATTATTTTCATAGGTCATGTTATTAGCAACTTTACTAGAACTTTTTCTACTGTTGACGTAGGCCCAAAACTTGTTAGAGTTAATAGATATATCATTCTCTGCTTTTAACAGATAATTTTCATGTGCCGTTTTAATTGCAATTTTAACTTCAGCTCTTATGCGCTTAAATTTTTCGAAAGCCCTGATATCATTGTCTTTTTTATATTGACGCCAAAATTTTGATATTTCTCTTATTTTTTTAATGATACTGGGATTAAACCAAGGAGGATATGTTTTTTTATTATGCGCTGAATAATTGGGTACGCAACGATCTAACACACATAATAAATTATTGAGTTTTTTTTGACAAGTACTTGATATTTTCAAGACGATTTTCTGAACTAAATCTGTTGTTTCCAAACACATATGATTTGTGGTGTTTTCAAGACGATGCTGTCCCATACTACGTTTTATTGGTAACAAACTACTTGGATAAAGTCTTTTAAAATCGGTGGATAAATCAGAGAGGGTTAAAAGAATGGCCCACCTAGGTGTAACAAGAGAACTACGTAAAAAAGTAAAGTCTAAATTAAATTAATCGCCTCCGAATCGAAATGGTACAATAACTTACTTATAAGTTATAGACAAAAAATTTGAAATATTTATAATAAAAAAATGTAAATATCTTACCACTTAAAACTGTAGCAAATATTGTAAAACGCATATTGAGTTGAACTTATTGTACTGATACAAATAATAGGAAAATGGTGTGTCAAGTTTTGTTTTCACTATGATCTTTTAACTAAATTTTGCCGCTTATATACCTTTTAGATGTGTTAGAAAAATAATATGTAAATATAATTCATATTTTGGATGTAAATAAAATAAATTAAAACTAACAAGAAATATATTTAAAAATTACTGAACCGTTTCCCAGACGAAATTATCAGCATTATTATGATTTTTGTATTATCTGTAATAACACTGCAAAAATATTAGGCTGATGAATTTGATGGTTGATGCTAATATTTCATATTATTATAAAATCATAATGGCTTGATGGAAAGCTATATTGACCAAAATTCTTTTAATAAAACATAGTGGTAAAAAACTTTACGTTTTTTTTTTAAATGTTATTTATAGATGATCCTCTGCCTAAAATTTTAACAGTTCGATTTTACTCTAACGATTTTATTTTGAAACTGCATATTCTATTCCGTTGATATACCAAAATTCTTTTGAAAGTACATTTGGGTTCGAGGTTTTTGATAAATATTTTAATTTGACGCCCAGTTTGTCAGTTTAAGTCATCGAGCTACTAGCGACAAGAGATGACATATCATACAATTATTCAAAATAATGTGGTACTACTAGACTGACACTAGGATGGTAACAAGATGGCGCCTTAAATCGGCTTGACCTCGTCCAACTTCAAAAAATTATTACGCATATATTTTCATATATATGTTATAGTGTACAGTGTCACGAAGCCGCCAAGAACATTAACCTTTGCTTCCCATAGATACAAGTGTCAGTTTGCTTAATAGTTTTATAGTTTATTCACATTTGCACTTTTATAGCAAAATGTTTTATTTCATTTTAATTACATTCAGTCTAGAATCCGATTTTGTTCATTAAACACCTTTATTTTGTAACACAGTTTTTATTTGAAATAAATTATTTTTTAAAAACTATCTTACGGCATTTTAGAATTTAATGGCGCAGTCAGTAGGATAGGTCAAACGAGATTAGTGAATATAATTTTCGGTTCGTATTAACGATTCATTGACCTATTCGAACATATACCGTGTGTTAGGAAGTTCCAGTTGGGTGAACTGAGTAGCTGATCGAAAAGACATCAAAAGGACATTTGATACTTCGGGAATAGGAAGAAAGAACACTAGAAGTGAATATTGTGGCATCTTTAGCTGGTTCTACACATGGAAGGAATATTAATTTTGCTGTAAGTACTTATGTCATATAGAGGTAAAACTAATCAATGTGCTTCAGATTGTTCTGAAAATTCAGATAATAGTAGCACAGATTCTGACTCAGACTCACCTAAGTCTTTAATACATTCTATAAAATCTATCAATTTTGCTAAAATTTTAAAAGATAATCAAAAATTAAAAATGGCAGTACTAAAAAAAGAATATTTAGATATGATACCCGAATTTCAAGGGGATACACAATTACTTCCTAGATTTTTAGAAATTTGTGAAAAATTAGTCAAAAATTTTATAATGCAGCTGATGTTAACGATTTTCAGAATGAATATCTGATGTCAAGTATCTTAGCAAAGATTAAAGGTGAAGCAGCTGTTAATATTTCATCTTGCACAATATCAAATTGGGCAGAGTGAAAAGGTGCTCTATTAAATACTTATTCTGATAAAAGAGACATGTTTACGTTAAATATAGAGATGGTACAAACCAAACAAGGTAATGAATCGCCTTTTGATTTTTTTAATAAAATACAGCACTTATTAAATCTTCAAATTTCTAATATAAAAGCTCATACTGCTGGGCATGAAATAGTTACCTTATCAATATATTGTCGTAATTTGGCTCTCAGAGTATTGTTACGAGGTTTAAAGGAACCACTGGGTTCACTTATGCGCACCAAAAATCCTGCAGATCTAACTTCCGCGTTAGATATGTTAACAAATGACTTCCAAAACAATATTGAAGGTTTAAATACTTATAAGGGTAAATTTTTGCCTAGGAATAGTTTTCTTGAAAATAGAAACACAAATAAACAATTACAAATTACTAATTTTTCTCATAACTCTCAACCGCCTGTTAGACAAAATTATTTTTATAATCCATCACAACCTAATACTAGTAAAATAAATAATAATACTAATTTTGATTAAAGGACAAATATATTTAAGCCAAATCCAAATCAAACTTTTCCAAAACCTACTCCAATGAGTACGTCTACAAGAAATACATTTAGGCCTAATCAAAATTATGTAAATCCAAATTATTTTAGACAAAATCAAAATCAAAAATTTTTTGTTGAAGAATTACACACTATAGATGAGCAACCAATAGTTGAAATTCTTGAAGATACCGAAGACAATTTTTTAGGGAAAATTGCCTCGGAAAAAACAGAATAAAAAATTTTTAATTACTTAATTTAACAAACAATGAAAGCCAATTACCCTACATAATTTTCCCGGAATTTGATTTAAAGGTTCTTATCGATACAGGATCTACCAGATCATTTTTATTACCTGAAACTACTGACATGTATTTTAAAAAAATTATTAAATTCGAACCTTTACAAATTTCGACCGCTCACGGTACTACACTGGAAAATTATTGTACGGCAATGCCTTCTTTAGAAATTTTTGGATATAAGAAACCAATTTACCTAAAATATTCTATATTTAAATTTCTTGATAAATTTCAATGTTTATTAGGGCTCGATAACCTAAAAAAGTTAAAGGCTAGTATTGATTTAAATAAAAATTTATTGGTTACCCCTAACAGTAAAATAAAAATTCATTACAACAAGGTTCCTCAGAGCATGAATTGTATAGTAGTGTCTCCGAGATCTGAAAAAATAATTAAAATAAATTTAAAAAACATAAAAAATGGAGAGGTTATGATACCTTATACGCGAGTTTCAGAATTAGAAATTCCACAATGTATAACTGTAGCAAAAAATAATACAGCTTTATGTACTATTTTTAATAAAATAGAATCAAATATCACAGTAGATTTAAATGAACCATTGGAAGCAGAATTGTTCGATGAATACGATCCAATTCGATCTCCCAATTTTAATAGTTTTAATGCCACAAAAGTAAAATTTGATATTTCTAAAGTTCGTACTGAACATATGAATTCAGAAGAACGGCAAAAAATGTTAAAACTAATAAGAGAATATTCCGATATTTTTCATGTAGACGGTAATAAATTAACATTTACCAGTAAAATAAAACATGAGATAAAAACGACTGACGAGTTACCGGTGTACACTAGATCGTATAGGTACCCTGAGGTACATCGTAAGGAAGTTCAAAAACAGATTCAAAGTATGTTGGATCAAAATATTATAAGGCCTTCGACCTCACCATGGAGTTCAAGTATCTGGGTTGTAAGTAAAAAACCCGATGCCTCTGGACAACAAAAATGGCGGATAGTTGTCGATTATAGAAAATTGAATGATAAAACTATAGGCGACAGATATCCCCTACCCAATATTACGACCCTGCTTGACAAGCTAGGACGATGTCAATATTTTTCAACGCTTGATTTAGCGTCGGGTTTTCACCAGATTCAAATTGCAGAAAAGGACATACCCAAAACTGCATTTAATACGGAAAATGGCCATTATGAGTTCTTGCGCATGCCCTTTTTGGACTCAGAAATGCACCAGCGACTTTCCAAAGAATAATGGATAATATCCTACGTGGGATACAAAATGAATGCTGTCTAGTCTATCTAGACGATATTATAATTTTCAGTACTAGTTTGCAAGAACATATAACCCGCATAAAAGAAGTATTTGATAGACTAAAAAATTCAAATTTTAAATTACAGTTGGATAAATGTGAATTCTTAAGAAAGGAGGTAACATATTTAGGCTACATTGTTACCCCTGAAGGTGTAAAACCAAATCCTGAAAAAATAATCGCTATTAAAAAATATCCGATTCCCAAAAATACAACTGAAATTAAAGGATTCTTAGGACTTTTGGGCTATTACAGAAAATTCATTCAAAACTTCTCAAAAATTACTTTACCGCTAACTAAACGTTTAAAGAAAGGAGCTGTAATTAATATTACAGATCCGGACTATGTAGAGTGTTTCGAACTTTGCAAAACACTTTTAATTAACGAACCTATCCTGCAATATCCTGATTTTTCGCAGCCGTTTATTCTGTCTACGGATGCAAGTAATTTTGCAATAGGGGCTGTTTTAAGCCAAGGAAAAATCGGCAGCGACTTACCAGTTGCTTATGCTAGCCGAACTTTAAATAAATCAGAGATTTCTTACTCCACTATTGAGAAAGAAATGCTCGCTATCGTATGAGCAGTAAAATACTTCCGGTGTTATCTTTTTGGAAAAATGTTCCGGATATATACTGACGCAAAAGCTCTTCAGTGGTTGTTCTCTTTGAAGGAGCCCAACTCTAAACTTGTTAGGTGGCGTCAAAAACTTGCTGAATACGATTACGAAATAGTATATAAAAAGGGTACTCTTAATAAAAAATGCGACGCTTTATCTAGAAAATAATTAAATTTTAATGAAACCGAAAATCAGCCAGGTACTTCAAAGGCTCTACTCGACTATATAGATGATTTTAATAAGGACCTTAAAAATAACGACAATTCGGAATCATTAATAGCCGAAGTCGGAAATTTCGAGAATTTAGAAAATGATCAATTAGATGATAACGCTACCGTACATTCTAACCTAGAAAACCCTATAATAGGCATCCCAATTGTAGATTGTCCTGTAAATTTTGGAAAAAATCAAATTATTATTTCCGAAGTAAATTTTTCTCCAGCTCAACCTACAATAATAAAACTTTTCGAAATAAGCAAAGAATACTTGTTCAATTTTCCAAAAATGATTTTGAAAATGAAGTTATTAAATTTCTTAAAGAATTTATTGTGCCAAAAGTAAAATATCACTTATATTTTGAAGACTTGCTCTACGAAAAATTTAGTGTTATATTTCAGACATTTTTAAAAAATTCACTAATGAA